GCCATTTGAGTTAACACTGGTCTAACTTGGTCATAAGACCCCAATTGATGTTTATATCTAATATTAACTTCTGATTCTTTATCATTGTCAGTCTTCACCAACATAACAAACCCAATAGAGTTAATATCTGTCATACGAGCACTAATTGCATTGCTATATCCACCATAATATTTTGCATATCCTAACAGCGTGTTTGGATGTGTATTCATGTATAATACTAAACGTTCAGAATGTGGTGCAATTGGATCCGGAATCTGCTGGTTTTTTGTTCTACGCATGCTTGCTTTTTGCTTTTTTTAATAATTGACAGAATTTTAATAATGAATTAAATTATTTTTTTTTCTTTTTATAGAACGCTAGTCTTCAGTTGAATTTCGCGTGATTGTGGGATATTTATTACGGGGGACTGACGGATATACAGGGGGTGATCACATAAACTTGCTTGATTAATCAAACTATTACTTGGATTATAACAGGTATATGAAAAAACCATTATTTTTTGCCAGGGTAAACAAATACCACTAAGCATTATTCTTAACATGGAAGTTGGGACTACCAGTTCTATAAATTCTATAATAATAATAATAAATTAAGAATTTGGATAACGTGCACATTTTCAATCTTTGGGCTAATTTTTTTATATTAACTTTAAATTTGCTTTTTAATATTAAACAAATTCGCGGAATAGATCCTGATTATTAATTGGTAGTTATTTTTAAAGATTATTTTCTTAATAATAATAAAAATTTTACCTAATAATATTAATATATATATTGCTGGATGAAATAGAATTTCAAACAAAAATAAATTTGCATAACAGACTCTTTTCAAGAATGGCTATTATTAATAAAATGGAAATAATGTCAGTTAATTTGGTTTTTTTAATATTTTTAAAGATTAGCTACATACTATTACTAATTTTTTTTCACCCATTTTCTATTATTTTTTATATATATTTAGAAGTGTAATGGTTAAATTAAAAGTATTTATTTATTAATAACATTAGCAGAATCTGGAAGAGATGTATGTTATTAATATTTAATATATATAAGTTAAAAGAAAAGAAAGTTTTATTAATGATTATTAACGGTTTTATTTATACATATATTAATTGACCAGAAAATGAAAATTATTTCAAGGATGTTACTATTATTATTAAAAGGTATGTATGTAGCAGTTGTAAAAAGCAGAATTCTATTTTCACCTATTGTAGAATCCTTAACTAAAAAGTTTACTCCATCTAAAGTCACCTTCATGTTTTCAGGAATAGTAATATCCTCTATAGACTCTGGAAATCAGCATTACAAATTCATCTGATTGATTTACAAAGTGCTTCATTTGATGGAAGGGATGTATATACTTCTTGAGAATTAGCAGTATTAGAAATTGTGCTTTGGATAATTTGTGAGGGTAGGTCATCAGCCTCTCTAGCATTTCCTTTTATTGTATTAATGGTCTTTACAACCCCAAATCGACTAGCTTCTGGAGCATGGTTATGGTCAGAAGTATCTTGAAGATAATGTTGCTCCCTATCCAATATAGTAGTTGCTCGACCATTGCATTTTAGGGCACTACGTTTCTCACAACACCAGTAAAATTTATTATCACGATTTTTGTCTTTAACCATAAGGTAACCATTAACATTAATTTTGAATCCACCATGAAGAGAAAGAACAATTTCGCAGATAGTGTTGTCCATTTAAAAAAATGTTAAGAGAATAAAAATAAATAGAGTGTTATGTGATAATGCAATAAGGATGTTTTTCAAGTCATTGCAAATTATGACTATATTTATATATCTTTAATTGGTTTGCCAAATTCCTTTATATTACAAATTAAAAATTTGGAAATAACAAACACATTTCTTAAATAAGATGTATAATAGACTATGTAGATCCTTATGGTTATCAATAACATCCCGGTTTTTCAATTAGTTATCACCCCGGTTTTTTAATTAGCTATCATACCGGAAATTTACATAATAATAATATTTATTATTATTTCATTTATGTTTATTATGTTTATTATTATAATTTTTTTTTTCTAAATACAACGATTTCATATCATGAATCAATTATAAACATTAAAAATTTAATCTTTTGGTGCGATTTGAAGATTTATTAGTTTTTTTATAGAAATTTTCAGCAAACTATAGCTAGCATTGTTTTTTTCACGAGGAATTGTAATTGTCAGTCCATTAATAGCTGCTAATTCCACATTTGCCAATTTTAATCTTTGAGCATATCCACCACAAAAACCACACAAGAAACATAACCAGAAATAGGTTTTGTAAGTGGTGGATAATGGTGTGTCTTTGTTTAACTCAGGATGTGTTAAAATTTGGTAAGTTCATCATATTCAAGTGAGTCAGATTTTTTCTGTTTGATTATGCTTAAATCTTGTATTTTTATCTAAATGTTTGTGAAGTCTTGGAAACATATGTTCATCATAAAGATCTGGAGCAGGAGAAATTTTTGAATTTTCCTGTAAATACCTATGTATAGCAGCAAAGCAATTTTTTATTGATGTTGGTGCATATGGTGATTTGTCTTTTTTGTTTAACGCTTGAAAAAATTGAATCAATTCTTCTTGTAACTGATTTATAACAATTTCACTAATGTCATAATTGTATCCCATTTTTGTTCTAACATTTTCAACCAGAATCTTGTATTGCGAGTAGTATTCTTAACTTCACCATAATTTATTGTGTCTTTGATTTCTTTGTTCGTAAGTATATGTACATTATTATTTGACTATAAAAAAAAAAATAGAAAATTTTAAAATATATTATAGGAATATATTGAAAGAATCCACTCTATCAAAAAGACCTCGGTTTCTTCAAGAGAATTATTATTATCAATTTCAGAATTAATTGATTCGACATTTGTAATTGTTTCTTCAAGAGGATCATTCATAATGTCAATTTCATTGGAAATCAATATTGTACAATTAGTGCCTATATAGTATTACAGTGTTACCATTACAAAAACAATAACCCACTATTCTTATCAGAAAACAGTGGCCCATAGATTTCCTTTGCTGTTGTAAACATTTTTCATAAAAATAGGCGTTTAATAAAGCAAGAAATTTTTTTTGGAAATAAGCTTTTTTTAAAAACCATAAGGATCTACATAATGCATTATATAGAAGTGATGTTAGCCGGTAGAAAAACCTTAGCCAGCTAAGAACTTGAATAAATTTTTATCTAATAATTTAGTAGACAAATATCATACTTTGTATGAATTCACTAAAAATCGGGGTTTTTTATTATTTTACTAAACGTGTTGCAATTTGTCTCACTCTAGTTTTTTATATAAATTTAATAGAGCTGAAGAAAAACGAAGGTTTCTTTCTGACAATAATGATAAGGTAAATATATATTTGTATATTTCTCCGTTTAGTGTTTTTACTCTTTGGTTAAATTTTTTACTTTCTTCACAACAGTCTTCATTATTCTCTTTGAATGATAAAATTGACTGTTTTGATATTAATTCAATTTCCATCCCATAGGAAAATATAGATTGTCAATTATTAAAAACAATTGAGGAAGAACTCGAAAAGACTAATAGAAGGTATGATAGATATGTTGGTAAATTAGATAGATTGAGTAATATCAGGAGAGATTTGAGAAAGGGAAAATATAAAAATGGAAAAGAAAAGAGAGAACTAGAGGAGGAGATAGAGGAATTGGAAGGAGAGAAAAAGCAAATTGAGAAGAAGATGGATTCTTGGGAGGAGCAAGTAAAGAAGTTACAAGATCTATTAATTGAACTTTCCAATAAAAGATCAGGTAGGGCACAAAATAAAACATTTGAGGGAATGTTTGCATACTGATACCATAATAAAATCATGGTTCTTATTCACAGTAAGGATACCAGCTGCAACTTTTGATGATGGTTGCTACCACCTTTGCGTCATATAAAAATGATTGCAACCACCTTTACAACCATTTTGTTTCCTTTTTTGGGTTGCGACATGGAACACTAATTCACAGAAAAAACATTGAGAGTATCAGACATTAATAACCCCTCTCGAAGAAGAAGAATAGAAAGTATAATGGATTATTGTCACGATCATAGAAAAGTTAAAAAAAATGGAAGGCTTGCTTTTAATGAATTTGAATGGAAATATGTGTCGAAAATTTATGGATTTGAAGAAGAGAGGTATTGTATTTTATTTATTATACTTCAAATTTATGCTTATGGTTTGCTAACTGAGTTATATTTTAGAGTTATACCTACATTTATACCAACTAAAAAAAATATTCCATCTGATTTAGTAGACTTTTTGATGAAAATACTTCAGGTATGAAACTTAAATTATATATAGGTCTTTCCTGTTCATGCTAATTTATGGGGCCATGAATGATTTTCATAATTCCAGCCACAGGATGAATACTTATCTGATGAGTTTTCCATCTTAGTTCTAACAACGGAGATAGAGATTTTTATTTTTATTTTTTTGATTGACTAGATGACTTGTCAAATGAGCATCACTAGTGACAATCCAAATTTGGATTTATGGTCCATCAGGAAAACATGATTGGGGTTATACGTATAATTATACGTATATGATTTACAAATGTGTGGCATTCTCATATAATTCACATATAATTCACATGTAAGTCATCTATATGCATGTTATATGAGAATTATATGAGAACCCCCACACATTTGTAAATCATATACGTATAATTCCAATCATAGTTTTCCTGATGACTCTCTTCTTATAGATGAGCATGAATCAGAAGATCCATTATTTATATTAAAAATCTGATTATTTTTTGTCCTACTTTTTTTTTCATAAAATTCTTGAATTGTAGCTGGTTTCCCGTCAAGCTGGTCCAATAAACATTGGTAAAGAAGCCAAAAGAAAAGAATTTATTTCTCCTATAATCCTTTTAGCTTCTGGTATGTTCAAATAATGCTTGCACTATAGTTCTGTATCACTAAGTTTTATATTTATGTTAATAACAACTATAATGTATTGTTTTAGATTTTATGGGTGGTAATGTCTCTACTACTTTTGAACAAGAACTTGAAGGAAAAATTGTCCCAGCCAATGGAAGAGTCGAATTTATTGTTAAATTTAACCAATTTTATGTTTGTATTGTAGAAACAAAAAGAGAAAGTTTTGATCAAGGGAGAGCTCAAGCTTATATATCAATGGAAACTGCGTTGGATGTAAGTACATTTTATCCATATATCTATGAGTGAACAAGTCTTGATCTGAATTGTTTCTATTATAATTTTTATTTTTTTTTTAGATTAATGCTGACAAGCAAAAAGTCATGTACGGAATTATTACAAATGCAAGTGATTGGGTATTTTTACGACTAACAGATCATGGTATTGGAGAGTCTGAAATTTATCATATAAACAGCATAAAATCAGTTGATGGAAAGTATTATTACCCTGTAAGAGCTGATGTTGTCAATATATTGGAAATTCTTTGCGGAATACTTTTGGAAATAAATGATAATTTACAAGGATTAATGTAAAAAATAATAAAGCAAGCATAATTCACTCTTAATAAAAAAACTTTTAATTTAATATATTAACTTTGAAATGCTAAATGAGTACACTTATGAAAGCACATATATCATTAATGGTGATAATAATCAGTTATGAGAATTAGGAGATGAGTCAAACTCATTAATATACAAAAAATATTTTGTTAAAAATTCCAAAAATCATTTTAAAACTTCAAGGCTCTGGAGTTTATTGAAATTGCATCATTGTCAGAGACTGTCAAAGCCTCTTGCTTGTCCGAAGCCTTTTAGTAGCTCAATGTTCACTTTGTCTGGTTTTGTTGTAGTATGCCCCAAATAATAATCTATGGTGGATTCTTTCTTTCCACCCTGAACTTGCAAGTTCTAAAAGCATGAAGCCAATTATAGACTTTGATTTTTCTTCAAGAAAGATAAGAGGTTAAGAGAATTCGGTGACAATGAATATGTCAAACAAGCTATTTAATTGATCTGAAAATAAACTTTCATTATGATTTAATAATAATGATAATAATAATAAAACATTTTTTATTAGAATGATTTGCTTGAAGAAAAAAAGAAAGTTCAACAAATCATGAGTGATCACATATATACATGCCACCCAAATCACAAATTATTTGGGATTATGACATCCCAAATGTAGATCAGATTTCTTGCTCAACCAATAAGTGCCTGGAATTTGTGAAGATGATCAGCAATCCCTTTGTTATGCTGGATGCTTATTGGACAGGAGAGCAAGTACAAGAATCTGATCTACATTAAGGTTTCTGGACAAAACTGCTTCTATTAGTAGCCAAAATTGCCCAAATACTTTGGGCAAAATTTATTTTTTTATAAGCCCAAACTACTTT